GTTATAATAAGCTATACTAATGTTTTTCAATATTTCAGCCACTCAAGTTATAAATGTAATTTTAATATCTGAGGCATTACAGGATGAGTGGTCATGATTTGCATTAAAACTCAATTTCAGCTGCTACCTTGGCATCCATCATGCCCAACATAACATATGCTGGCTGACTTACTCTGCTCATTCATGCCAATGCATGCGCTGGATAGCAGCCCACAGAAACACCAAGTACATGCTTCTGCTATGACTTCCCCAATAACACGTGTGACCAAAAATTTCCCTCAACTCCCACCAGGTTCCCCAACTCTCTGCTCTTTTACTCCAAACTGATGAATCCAACAAAAGCCTGGGCACCTTAATGTACTCCAACCTCAGACCCTAATAAAGACTTGAACTCCAGGTCTGTGCTCTCTGCCCCTGCTATGACCTTCCTGTGTGGCCCTTGAGTGTGCCCTATGCTTCCTCTAGACTATAATGAACTTATCATATTTAGTTCCTTTGTGTGGTCTCCTGTTGAACCAAGACACCCATATAACTTCATTTCAAATAAGTATGATTGCAAGGTGTCATAGGATTTTTCCTGTCACTCAGAGATGATTGTTGTTGCTGTTGTTAAGTGACGTCGAGTTGGTTCTGACGCATAGCAACCCTGTATAGGGTTTCCAAGGAACAGCTGGTGAGCTTGAAGCACCAACCTTGCCGTTCAAAGCAACTTTGCAGTCCAGCACATTAACCCACAGCACCACACCTAGACTCCCAGAGAGGATTACCAACACTCAAAATGAAGAATTAAGTATCATCAAATATCCCACAAGTTGTTTTTTTATTTTTTTAAAAAAGGTAGAAAACAATTAGGGGGCTGAAGCCTCCTCCAACTATACCCCAATCCCTATACCTCCTCAGCTTATATCAACTATTCTGTTCCTTCTGTCCACCTGCACAGGAACAGAACAGCAGTAGGGCAGAGAAAGAGGGGTGTGTGATGAATCCTGCTCTTCCGTTCCAGTGTGGCAAGGATATGTCAATCATCTTCATACTTTCCCATTTTCCTTGCAAAGGCCTTCCCTGTCACTTAAAATAATCACCAGCCTTTCTGGGAATCCTTTAATTATTCTTCTGACTTTGGGATCATCAGAGGTACCTTGGAGCTATGTCAGCCAATATAGTGGTTACGCATCGGGCTGCGAACCTCAGGGTCAGTAGTTCGAAACTACCAGCTGGTCCGTGGGAGAAAGGTGAGGCTTTCTGCTTCCGTAAAGAGTCACAGCCTCGGAAACCCTGTACAGGGTCGCTATGAGTCGGAACCAACTCCATGGCACATAATAACAATAATAATCTACCTGTGGATACTGAGCACTTGAAATGTGACTAGTCTAAACTGACATATGGTGTAAATATATAATATAAAACAGATTTAGTACAAAAACATAATAATAACTATCTCATTAACATATTATATCAATTACATGTTGAATTGATCATATTTTGGATATAATGTTTAAATCTATTATCAAACTTAATTTTATATGCTTTATTTTCTTTAATGTGGCTATTAGACATGTAGGGCTACATGTGTGGCATCCTCTGTCCTTTAGATCACCACCATCAAGATAGAAGAGCCAGGAGCTGAGTGTGTCCTTGGACCCAAGATCCCTTTGCTGAGAAGTTCCTTGACACAGAGAAAGGCCAAGATACATGGAGATCTCCAAGAAACATGGGCCCATGGATACTTCTTCCAGAGCCAGCAGTCGCTGACACCCTGAATTTTGACTTCTAGTCTCCTAAACTGCTGGGGTACCTGCTTGGAACAGCTTTCTGGTGTTCTGCTTCCCTGACACTTGTCCACATTATTCAGAGAGCTCTTGAAAGTACACTGACCAGATGGATGAAAAGCAGATAGGGGAGAGTCCTGAGGGAAGGCCAGAAGTCGTTACTATAGTGCTTGATATAATGCTTGGGGAACCTGGATGTGTCACCAATTTCCAGAGTGATCCATAGACCTGTAGGCACAACTCTGACGTCTTATCTTTGTTCACGCTATTCTCTGCACTAAAAATGCTCTCTCCTCACTTCCCCAGTTGCTAACTTTTACCTTTCATTTAAAAATTCCCCAAATCTTGATGGTCTGTTTTCTAGGCAGGGCCATCTGAACAAAACACCTTCAATCCAAAACATCCTGGCATTACGAACACTGATAGTACTGGTTCCCAAACTTTTAGACTACAAAAAAAAAAAATGTTTTCCCCTTCTGGTGAGATGCTATAGGATCAACACTAAATTGCAAACCACAAGATAAATGGTTCAAACCCACCAGCTGCTCCTCAGAAACCCTCTATAGGGTCACTATGGGTTGCAACCAACTCAACTCAAAGACACTTAATAACACTTGCTCACATTAAAAAATCAGAAAATGAATATATGCAAAAGGAGGAAATTGAAGTCACCTTTGGTTAATTTGATAAGACCCCTCTTCGTGCAAAAATATTTTACGGATTCCCCATTTTCATTGTGTTTTTAGTATCTTGATTGAAAAAAATACATAATAAACCCCAAATTACCTATCAGTAATGATTTTAAGTAAATTTAAATAAATACTTTATTGTCATGATAATATTGCAGTAAGGCGCTCTGTTAGCGTAGTGGTTACAAGTCAGGCTGCTAACCTCACGGTCAGCAGTAGAAAGATGAGGCTTTCTGTTCCTCTAAAGATTTACAGCCTCAAAAATCCTATTCAGGGTCGCTATGAGTCAGAATTGACTCCACGGCACACCACCACTACCACCAATATTGCAGTATTTGAAAAGTAATAGTATACTTGTTGTTGTTGTGGCTAAGTGCTGTCCAGTCAGTTCCCAACTCATAGTGACCGAGTATAGGGTTTCAGAGGAGCAAATGGTGGGTTTGAATCACTGACCTTGTGTTTAGCAATTCAGTGCTTATCCTCCAGCACCATACTTCATATGTTGTCATTACTATCATTGATTTGATTCCGACACATAGCGACTCTTTGTAGGGTTTTCGAGGAGCGACTTCCGACCCTATGGTTCAAACCGACCTTGTGGTTCAGTGTTTATCCTACAGCACCACACCAGGAGTGCTTACTACATATAAGGCATGCCATATGCAACTCAACTCAAAATGCAAACCAATCAAAATACCAATACACTGCATATATGACATATTTTGATTGGGTTGCATTTTGAGTTCGGTAACATCATTTCCAGGTCCTCTCTGTGTTTTGGGAAGACAGGTTTCCTTTTTTATTATTTAAATAAGGCATTTTTAAAAGGAAGCCCTGGTGGTGCTGTAGAATAAGCACTGGACTGCTAACCTCAAGGTAGTTAATTTAAGCCCATCAGCCTCTCCGTGGGAGAAAGATGAGACAGTCTCAGAAACCCTTTACAGAGTCTCTGAGTCAGAATCTACTTGTTGACAGTGAGTTTGGTGCTGCCCTGGGATTTTCAAAAACTGGAGCTGGGAAGCTCCCCAACCACAAAGAATGGGACCACAAGGGGGCGGTACTGTAGTGAGGCGCTTCCCTAGACAGTTTGGATATAAACTGTTAGAAATAGTCACTGCTTACACTTTCTAATGAAAGGATTGGAGAAAACGTAGACCAAGGAGAGATGTAAGGAGGATGTTAAGAACAAGAGCCAAGAGAGGCTTATGGGGATATTCACTCAGCATTGCCTGCCAACTATAGGCAGCCTTTCCTGTTGTTAAGTACCCTCACGTCAGTTCTGACTCTTAGTGACCCCTGAATAGGGTTTCTAAGAAACTGCGGTGAGCCTGAACCGCAGACCTTGTGGTTCAAACCAATTTTGCAATCCAGGACTTCATAGGCAGCCTTACTATACATTGATTAAAATAAGGCACAGTTATGCCATGGAATATTTTATAACAATTAAGGATACATGGCAAATGAAAACAAACTGACAGGAAAAAACCTTTATGCTAAATACTGTGAAAAGAGCTAGCTACATAACTGTATGTCCAGGTTTTGTCTATCAACTTTGCTTTAAAAATAAAAATAACAGTGACACTATGGGTGATTTCCTTGCCTTATTATTTACAACTTCTTTTATAATTTAAATTTTTTTAAGTTATCGTTAAGTAGCCTTTTCCAATCTTCTTTATGAGTTAGGACTCAAATATCACTTTCTTTCCCAAACTTTCCTCAGTTCTTCCATCAGAAGAACAGAAGTCTTCATTAAAATTACGACACTTAGCAAGTGTTAAATTGCGTGTGGGGAAGGCAATATACAACAAGAAGGGGGTTGGCAAAGGAAAGATGACGGTATGGAAGACACCGAGGAGTGCAAGAGTTAAAATGAACAGGGTGGAAACTGGAATCATTGCAACGACACAAAGTGTATGATTTGTTGATTGGGAGAACTGATGATCTGCTCTGTAAACCTTCAATCCTCCATTCACAACAAAAAGTTGAAAAACAAATAAATAAAAAGCAGTACTCGGTTTGGGGTCTTAATCTTATTCCACCTCATCTTTTAGTCCCTTTGGTGCACGTCTTCCTCCTTTTCATAGCGGTCCTGCGTCTGCCTTCTCCGTACCGACCCCAACGCCTAGATCAGACCAAGACTAAGCCGAGCTGTTGTAAAAAGTTAAATCAGATTTGGCCCCAGGTGGCTCTCGGAGTCCAATGAACCGTAACCCAAAGGTTAAATACAAAACGCTGAGATCAAGTGCCGACGCCCTGACGTCTGGCTACCGGCTACCGACCTCCCTCTAGGCTGTAGGGTAATTTGACCAGCGGGTTCCGGAGCGGAGCCTCTCGTGAGTAATTGCGCCAATCAACGCTCTGGGCGGCGGAAATAAAAGCACTTTCGGATTAGCAATTAGATGACGCGACGCCAGAAGTTTGTCTCTTTGGAGGCACCGTCCACGTTTGCGTCCAGCTCGTGTCATGTGACCGCGGGGTGCTCAAAGCCTGTAGTGGAGAAGGAAGCGACTAGCTGCGGGGTCCAAAACCCTGGCTGACAGTGGGTGGGATGGAGACAACCTTGGAACAGCACTTGGAGGACACGTGAGTAGTGCGGGCCTCTTCGGTCTACGCTAAAGTCGTGGCGAGAACGGCTGGAGAGGAACAAAGGGCGTGAGCTTGAGTGCCAATCCGGGTGTCTGGGGGAAGATCGGGGCGTGGGATGTGGCTGTGAGACCCTCCTCGGCAGCGAAGGGCGTATTGGTAACCCGGAATTAAAATTCCATCTCTCTCATCCCTCCTCGGAGCGAGTCTCCGGGGTTCTAACAGGAGACCAGAATCGCCTGTCATGGTGAAATTGTCTTCTACTATGGCCAGGGCCGTTTCTACAAGAATTTTAGAAAATAGGTTTAACTTTGGGGACAGATGTATAAGGTGTACAGAGTCAAGACCAGAAATAGAAACGCAGCGGTGCCTCCCAGTTGCGTAACCAGCCAGTGGGTTGATACTTAAGGAGCTAAAAGACATCTCTTATTTTTTTCCAAAAGGTATTATCTTTTTTTTCTAATGGGCATTATCTATGTAAGATTCAGAGTTCCTGAGTTGTGTAAACGTTAGCGCGCCGGGCTTTTAACAAGAAGGTTAAAAATTCCCAGAAGCCTGGGAAGAAGGCCTGATGATCTACTTCTGAAAAATCAGCCATTGAAAATCCTATGCAGCAAACTTAAGGTCGCCAAGAGTCAGAGTTGTTTGGAGAGTAAGTGGTGTGTGTGTTTCACAATTAGAAAAGTATCAACACTTTCTTCCCAACAATGTACTCCAGTTTACCACTTCCTCAGCAGAAGGCAACCTTTGGTTACTTACGTCTTATTGCTTAAAACTTGAGTTTCTCAACAGTTTTTTAGATGAGTTAATACTATGTTAAAGCATGCACTTTCAAAAAAAAAAACTTAGCTGCTACAGTCTTTGTATCCCCACAAAGCTCAGCCATGCCTGTAAAATCTTTTGTCTCATTACATTTAAATCAATTTTTGTTGCTAGTTGCAGGCCAACCTTGTTCATGGCAGAATAAAGTGTTGCTTGGCCCTCTGGTGATCGGTTGCTGATTGTTCCATTATGATCTATTTCATTGGCTGATTTTCAAAAATAGATTTCCGGGACTTTTTTCCTAGTCTATTTTAGTCTAGAAACTCTGCTGAAACTTGTTGGGCATCATAGCAACATGCCAGCCTTTGCTGCACACAGGTGCATTGGCTGGGAATACATCCTGGGTTTTCTGCATGCTATTGTTTTTAATGCCGTCCAGTCAGTTACAACTCATAGTGGCCCTATATAGGGTTTCTGAGAAGCGGGTGGTAGATTTGAACCGTCATACTTGCGGTTCAAACCAGCCTTGCGGTCCATTGCTTGTCCTACAGTGCCATCCCAGGACTCCAAGGGTCCCCTGCATGGGAGATGAAAATTCCAACACAGAACCGCTAGTGCATCATGATTCACTTTAACATAACACTTTATCCCCTTGAAGTGAGGGAAGGGTGCTGGGGTGGGGGTGGGCGTGGCTAAATTAAAAAAAAGAAAAGTTGAGAAATGCCAATTTAAAACACTTAAAACAGTGCCTGTTGCATAGGAAGCCTGTCGAATATGAAGTGTTAAAATAGTTACTTAAATTCATTTTCTCATATCACATTTTACCCTTCCTGTGATTCTGGAACTAGAATGAAGAATCCATCTATTGTTGGAGTCCTATGCACAGATTCACAAGGACTGAATCTGGGCTGTAAGTATCTCACACCAACCCTCTGGTAAAGCTTTTGATGTTGCCTTGGAGCTTGGGTGTGCTTTTATTTCTCTGGCTATTATTTCCTGTTAACTCTTACTTTTGTGAAAGTAGAGATTATATCCAAATAATAAGAGAGGTGGTGGCGGCTGTGTGCCGTGGAGTCGGTTCTGACTCATAGCGACCCTATACAGGGTTTCCGAGGCTATAAACCTTTATGGGAGCAGAAAGCCTCATCTTTCTCCCGCGGAACAGCAGGTAGTTTCAAACTGCTGACCTTGCGGTTCACAGCCCAATTCATAATAATAATAAGAGTAGGAAGTTGGAATTTTTCAATTAGTACTTATGAAAGGAGAAATGTTCTTTCAATTCAACCACTAAACATTTGTCTCTACTAAATTAATATTTGCGTCATTTTAATTTGGGTATAGAAGGAACCCAAAAAATGACAGTAATTATCATTTATTGAATATTTTGCCATATGCCAGGACAGTGCTAGGCTTTATATACTTTATCATTAATTTTCACTATAATGTTGCAAGGCGGGTGGTGCTTTAAAATCCAGCTGTGCTTACTAGTGAGTGCTGTCGTCATTGTTGCTGTTAAGTGCCATCTTGTCAGTTCTGACTCATGGCGACCCTGTATAGGGTTTCCGAGGGGCAGCTGGTGGGTTTGAACTGGTGACCTTGAGGTTAGTAGTCTAGTGTTTATCCTGCAGCACCACAATAGGCAGTAAAATATGCCTACTTAAAAATGGGCTTCACCTATGTGAAAATAATGTGGGAGCCATGCCTTCCCCTATCTTCACAAGGGGGAAAAAGAATCAAACTCAAAATCAGCCCAAGGTTGATTTCCTGTGAAGCGGAGGTCAGACATGCTTCCACTCTACAACTTTCTTTACCCTATTCTGACACCAACCATTCCTTCCTCAGTACTCTGTTTCACATCTGGGATCCGTAATCCATTGCAGCGGTCACACAGACCTCATAACAATATTCATGTTTATGGGGTGTATTAGGGAAGTGAACAGGATACAATTCAGGATGAAAACCAACTCAGGATGCAGCAGTTCTCCAGTCAGGAACGCCTCTTGTCTGCTATATTACAGGCACACCTCACTCTTGTCTTCGACTTCTCAGCCAACTGGCCCCTTGGTTGCTCTGTCTTTCCATGCCACTGCCGTTGCTGTTTTTTATAGGTAGGGATCTCCTGCTCCACTCATGCTATTCCTTCTTGATGGTTCTGGGCTCTTCCATTCCTGTGTCTGATATGGCTCCTTTTAAGCCTAGCTGGAGGACAAAACGAACCAATCCTAGCCTTAGAGTCCTGTATACCTTATTTGCATGGCCACATCCAATCACTTGATGGGAATTAAGACTTTGGATGTTGTTGAGTGCCATCCAGTCAGTTCCAACCCATAGCAACCCTGTATAGGGTTTCCAAGGAGAGGCTGGTGAGCTTGAACTGCTGACCTCGTGATTCATACTGACTTTGCAGTGCAGTGCCTTAACCCACAGCACTATACAAGGACTCCAACTGGATTTAACCTGCTACTCTTCCATTTGTTAATGCTGTGAACTTGGATTTAAAAAAAGAGCGTCTCTGAGCCTGTCTTTTTTCTGAATTGTTTAATAATTTTACTAAAAATAGAATTGCGTATTTACTGAACTCTTAGTATGTGGCCAATTGTTGGTCTCAGTGCTTTACATATATGAACTTATTTAATCCTTGTAACAATCCTGTGAAGTAGATATTATTTTCCCCCATTTCACAGATGAAGAAATTAAGTCAGGTAGCTAGTAAGTGGTTGAACTAGGATTTGAGTATGGCTCCAAAGCCTCTTTTTAAATCACAGTACTATAAAATTATATGTTGTTCTTAGGTGCCGTTGAGTTGGTCCTGACTCATAGTGATCCTGTGTACAATAGAACAATAAAACACTGCTCATCCCTGGGCCATTCTCACAGTTAACGCTATGTCTGAGCTCATTATGGAAGCCACTGTGTCAGTCCATCTGATTGAGGGTCTTCCTCTTTTTGGCTGATCCTCTACTTTACCAAGCCTGATGGCCTCCAGGAACTGGTCTCTCCTGTTGGCATGTCTAAAGTACATGAGATGGAAGTCTGGCCATCCTCACTTCTGAAGAGTGTTCTGGCTGTACCTCTTTGAAAACAGATTTGTTCATTCTTCTGTCAGTCCATTGTATATTTAATATATTCTTTGTTAAACACAATTCAAAGGCATCAATTCACCTGACTTGGGTCAGGTGCACCTTAGTCCTCAAGGTGATATTTTGCTTTATAACACTGTAAAGAGGTCTTTTGCAGCATATTTGTCCAGTGCAATACATTGTTTGATTTCCTGGCTGCTGCTTCTAGGAGTGTTGATTATGGATGCAAGTAAAGTGAAATCCTTAGGTTCAGTGTTTCCTCCATGTATTATGATGGTGTCTATTGATCCAGTTGTGAGGATCTTTGTTTTCTTTGTGTTGAGGTGTAATCCATACTGAAGGCTGTAGTCTTTGATCTCATCAACAAGTGCTTCAAATTCTGCTTTTCAACAAGCAAGGTTGTATCATCTGCATTTCACAGGATGTTAATGACTCTTCCAATCCTAATGTTGCATCCTTCAGAGTCTAGCTTCTCAGATTATTTGTTCAACATACAGATTGAATAAGTATTGTTGTTGTTGTTGTTAAGTGCCATCGAGTCGGGTCCGACCCATAGCGACCCTGTACAGGGTTTCCGAGGGTGTAAATCTTTTACGGGAGTAGAAAGCCTCATCTTTCTCCCGCGGAGCGGCTGATAGTTTCGAACCGCTGACCTTAAGGTTCGCAGCCCGATTCATAACCACTACGCTACCAGAACCTGATAACACACCTTTTCTGATTTTAAACCATGGTACCCACTTGTTTTGCTTGAACAGCTGCCTCTTGGCCTGTACAGGTCCCACTTGAGCACAATTAAGTATTCTGGAAATTCTATTCTTTGCAGTGTTATCCATGTAACTATGATCTACACCGTCCTGTGCCTTTGCATAGTCAATAAAACACAGATAAATATCTTTCTGATATTTTCTGCTTCCAGCTAAGATCCATTTGACATCAGCAATTCCATGTTGATGAACTACTGCAACTGGTTTGAATTCTCTTCAGCCAAATTTTACTAGAGTATGCCAGCCGCTCCGCGGGAGAAAGATGAGGCTTTCTACTCCCGTAAAGATTTACACCCTCGGAAACCCTGTACAGGGTCGCTATGGGTCGGAACTGACTCGACGGCACTTAACAACAACAACAATGCTATTAATAAAGAGCTCTGGTAGCGTAGTGGTTACGAATCGGGCTGCTAATCTCATAGTCAGCAGTTCGAAACTACCAGCTGTTCTGCAGGAGAAAGATGAGGCTTTTTGCTCCAGTAAAGATTTACAGCCTTGGAAACCCTATGCAGGGTCTCTATGAGTTGGAACCAACTCCACGGCACATAACAACAACAACAGTGCTTTTAATGATAGTGTTCAGTAATTTTTGCATTTTGTTGGGACACTTTTCTTTGGGATTAATACAGATTAGAACATTTTTCTTTGGAATTAGTAAAGTTCTCTTCCAGTCAGTTGACCATGTAGGTAGCTGTCTTGCAAACTGCTTGGCATAGCCAAGTGGGTGCTTCCAGTATTGTATCTGTTTGTTGAAACATCTCAAGTTTGTATTTGGTCACTTTTTGGAGCCTTGCTTTATACCAGTACTAACAGTGCAATTTTAGACATCTTCCTTCAACACCACTGACTCTTTAGTGCCATCTTATGCTGCCTCCTGAGATGGTTGAATGTTGACCAATTATTTTTGGTATAGTGACTATATATTCCTAACCCCACTTTCTCATGATGCTTCTTGAGTGTTCAAATGAGTGGTAGTAATCACAGATGAGGAAGTAAATCCAGAAAGAATAACCAAAGAACCGACACCTTGTACAAGAATTTTTTAGACTCTGAATTTTGGATGTGCAGGTAACTGAAAGGGGTGATCTGTGTAATTCAGGATTTGCACACAGATCAGTCGGTGGGAGGGAAAAAGGGGGGAAACTTTTTTTAAAATCGTATATCATTGTGAAACAGATTTATATACTTTTATTTCAGAGGGTACGAGTTAGGGTTAGGACTTTGGCTAGATCAAGGCTAGGCCTAGGGTTTTGTGTAGTGTTAGGGTTATGAGTAGAGTTAAGACTAGGCTAGGAGTAGGAATTAGTCTAGTTTTAGGGTTACAGTTAGGTTTAGTTTCATTTGTATTTCTTGAAATGTGCTTGATTTTTCTTTTCAATTGGAAGTTCTGTAACTATACTGTTCCCTCTTTAGTTTTTTTTTGTTTTTTTTTTTTGTTATTTTTGTTATAAACTGATAACTCTGGTCCCGTATTTTCTATCTTGTTGTTTTGCTTTACTTAGGATATTTGTATATCTGGTTTAAGTTCTGGTTGATATTGTCATGTAAATTAATCTTGGGTTGTTGTTGGTTCTCTGTCCCAGGAACTTCCTTGGTGTAACAGTGGTCTGAATATTGAGAGATTTGTCTTCAAGCTCACTGATTCGGCCATCTGCTGATTCAGTTCTGCTTTTCTGCCCCTCCCTGTATTCTCTATTTCTGAAATATTAGAAGTAATCTTCTGGATTTCTATTTGCTGTTTTTGTATGGTTTCTAAGCTTTCATTTGTTTTGTTAGTTTGTTCTTGTAATGTTTTCTGAATTCTTCTAAAGCTTTTTTCTGTGTTCTCTTTGCTTTCATATGCAGCTTTCTTGACCATTCTCTCAATCTGCTGAAGGTTCATAAATATTCTTTTGAATTCCTTATCACATAATTCCAATACCATTCCTGGTACTGTACTTTCTAACATTGTATTTTGTTCACTTGTTTGAGCCACTCTGTTGTTTCTTGATGTAAGCTGAAATTGTTGTCTCTAAGACGTTGTGGTATCATATTTGTATTTAACTGATGATTGTATGTTGGTGTGTTCTCAGGGACTCACCACCTGTCTCTGGTGGGTTGTCATGGAGACTAGAAGTATATAATCAATTCTCTGTTTGCTGTTTATGTGAGGTAGTTCAGGGCAGGTTTGTCTGATGTTGGCTGCTACTTATCATTGATCAGGTCGCACAGGAGTGGGTAGAGGTGCCCAGTGCGTGGCGACATAGGAGGCATGGGTGTGATTGGGCTGTATGGACACAGTTGCTGTTTCCCAAAATAGACAACAGCAATAAAATATCTAATGAGGAAAAATTCACTAGCTTCTAAATATGAGAGTGCCTGACCCCAGGCAGAGGAGAGTCTGCATAGGAGTGGGTGCCACTGGCCACTAGGCAGAAAAAGTAGGGGCTCGCCAGGCCCCCTATCACCAGTAGGACCTGGGGAACAAGGGAGAACTGAATCCAACCTCCAGCTGTCCTCCTGTGCCTTTAGGCCATTGTGTTGATCATCAGCTGCCTGCACCAGGCCAGGCCAGGCCAGGCCAGCCAACAGCCCACCTGTCTACAACCCAGCTTCTCCCACTCAGCGTTCCGTTCACCTCTCTGTCCTTTGTCTCAATTGCCCACCACCTGTATCTGTGTCATTTGGTCTCCCGTGTCCTTGTTGTAGAGGGTCTGCTCAGTGCATCTACCTACTCCACCATCTTGCCCCAGAAGTCAGAAAAAAAGAAACATTTTTAAAGAACTTCTCAGGATACCTAATGAAAAGGCTGAAATTCTAGTGCGGAAATCTAAACCAAATGAATTCTTTCAAAGATTTTCAAGGTCTGAAAGGCTGCATTCTGGCTAACCACTTTATGTCTCATAAAACAATACTAAAGTCCTAAACTCTGCCATGATTTTTCGGTGTATTACATACTTCATTTTAGGCTTATTGTTTCCTTTATGTACAGAAATATATTTTAAAGTAAACTAGTCATTACTTTTTGTCTCTGGAACTCAAGATTTAGTAATTATCTCCAGGCTAAAGCATACATTACTAAAAAGCAATTCTATTGACATTTAAAAACAGCCAGCTTATATCCATTCTAGCCAAAATAATTGCTCACAGCGTATTCACATATGCTGTCAAGGTGGTCCTGTGACTGAAGTCTTGAGTAAAGATTTTTATATCCTTTGAGGTTGAGTTCGGTAAAAGGAAATCAGATTTCCCATAAGGAATTGATTAATTGGTTTCAACAGGTTTCTTGCTCTTACTGACTGCTTTTTGTCAGTCTCACCTCTGAATTTCTTGTTGGTTTCAATACGGTTCCTATAAAATGAATTTATTACTCTCAGACGGACTTAAATTACCACTCCTTTGTATCTTTGAGAAGGTGTTTAGAGATGGTGAGAGGAATGACTTTGAAAATTGAGTGTCTGTTATCACTGTAATGATTTAAGAACTGTTATGAGGCGTTCTCACTGATGTAACCAGTTGAGAATCAGGACAAAAGCATTTCATGTCAGTACCTCAACTAAAGGACAGTGAATGGAGCCCTTTTTTTTTTTTTGAAAAAAAAAAAAAAATCAATGAAAACTGTTCTAGCGCTGTATTCATCTTTAGAAAACATGGTGACATGGTATCTCTGTCTTCCAGGTCGTGGGACCCTGTCAGATGAGCATGCTGGGGTGATATCTGTTCTAGCCCAACAAGCAGCTAAGCTCACCTCTGACCCCACAGATATTCCTGTGGTGTGTCTAGAATCAGATAACGGGTAAGTAGATGTCAACAGATTCCTTTCCTTTTTGCTCCAAAAAAAAACCCCCAAGGAAACTGAACTGCCCTGAATTCATTAGTGATTTTTCATTCAGAGTTCTGGTAATGGCCTCAACAGGGTATAGAGTTTACTTTCTGTGAGTACTTTGCGGGGTGTTCTTCCTTTGGACTACAGTGGCGATATTAATCTCTAAAACTGATGTGCTTTCAAGTCACAGTGACCTTTAAATGAAGAGTACAAATTACACTGAAACCTGTGAGAGCCTGCTCTGTTTTTCTAGGTCTCACAAGTTTTCTGCTTTTGACAAGATTCAATTTTTAACACTTTTCTGTCTCTCATTTTAGTGGAAAATACTCTCTGATAGGTTCCAGCTTTAACAGATTTTACTGTATAATAAAAAGAGAAAGTAATAAATAGCACAGAAGACTAACTAAAGAACAAAACTACTTCTGTAGAAATAGGATGCACTAAAGATATTCTAAGTAAAAGGGTTTTCTCAATTAAGTTAAAAAAAAGCAGAGTACACAGTATGATCAGTATCACAATGAGAAAAAATGTCTATCTACCCATTTCTCACTTACTGACTTGCTTAGATTCCAAAGACCAAGTTGTTATGCAGAAATGGAAGGTTTTTTGTTTTTTCCTGTTTTCAGACCATCCATTTGCCCAGTTTTGTTTTGTTTTTTAATTAAAACAATATGATCATAGAACTAATAACCACTAGCGTAGTGGTTACAAATTGGGCTGCTCACCTCAGGGTCAGCAGTTCAAAACTACCAGCTGTTCCGCAGGAGAAAGATGAGGCTTTCTGCTCCCGTAAAGATTTATAGCCTCGGAAATCCTGTACCAGGGTCACTATAAGTCAGAACGTACACCATGGCACATAACAACAACAAAGGACTTACCAATGTGCTCATTACTGTAATGAATCCAGTTAAGGATTATTCATTTATAGAGAAGGAGGATTGGAAGAGACAGAGCCTGGGTGCATGACTAAGGGCCCACTATGTAACCGCTCTACCTCCCTCCGTGCTGAGTCAGAGCTTCCCGTGGGAGCCTCCCCCAGGGCTCCACTGCAACCCCTGCTTTCATAATCCCTAGCCTGGCAGGCCCTGTGAGGGCATTGGGAGCCTGGCTGCATACCCATTCCCACCAAGGCGGAGGCCTCAGGCCAATTCACCTCCCTTTGGATGTCATCAAACTCACACATATTTCTTCTAAACACCATCTCAGATGCCTCTTTTTTTCCTTCCTTCCCACCCCACAGTAGTTTTGACCTGTAGGATCTCAGGCTGCATAGGAGGTAGGAACCAGGAATAGGCATCCCCTGGTTCCAGGCTGCCTTTGTATTCACCTGGAGGCTATGACCACAGACACCTTGCCCTTGCTGGCAGGAAGGGGCAGAGGGCAAAAGACAGAGCAGCCCAGCTTCCTGGAAACCACATCAGGAACCTTCTCAAGGGAGAGAGTTGCACCATGCTTGCCACCCACCTCATTGATGGCAGAGTTGTCAGATGCTCACCAGCTGCTTCTTGGAAACCCTAGACAGGGTCGCCATGGGTCGAAAATGACTTGATGGCACTTAACAACAACAGATAATGAGATAGTCTGTAAATGAAGAGTAACTGTTTAATACGTTGTTGTCGTTAAGTGCTGTGGAGGTGGTTCCAACTTATAGCAACCCTGTATAGCATTTCCAAGGAGCAACTGGTGAGTTTGAACCACTTACCATGTGGTTCAAACTGACCTTGCAATTCAATTCAGTGCTTTATCCCACAACATCACACCAGGACTCCAAATGTATAATATGTTGTTGTTGTTAAGTACCGTGAAGTCAGTTCTGACTCATAAGTGACCCTGCATAGGGTTTCTGAGGCTGTAAATCTTTACGGGGGCAGAAAGCCTCATCTTTCTTCTGCGGAACAGCTGGTAGTTTCAAACTGCTGACCTTAAGGTTAGCAGCCCAATTCGTAACCACTACGCTACCAGAGCTTAAATGTATAATGTACATGTAGATGAAAACAAACTCATGAAATATTAATCGTGGTTCTCTTTGGGTGATAGGATTATGGAATTAATTTTACTTTCATATTTTATACTTTTATGTCTTTTCCAAATATTTTACCATACAAATAAATACTGCATTTACAACTAGGAAAAATGGCGAGTACTTTTTCATTGTGTACCATCCCCCAGATGGTGGGAACTATTAGCGTGCTCAGCTGCTACTTGAAGTTTACAGGTTCAAGTCCACTGAGAGGCACCTTGGAAGAAAAGCCTGGCTATCTCCTTTAAAAATCACTCATTGAAAGCCCTATGATGAGTGGTTCCACTGCGACACATATGGGTTGTCATGAGTTGGAGTCTAATCCATAGCAAGTGAAGGCCTGGGGTGGGGAAGCATCCTTACACTGACTCCCCGCTATAAAGCTTTACTGAAAATCTTCTTCTTTGCCTTTCAGGAACATTATGATCCAGAAACACGATGGCATCACGGTGGCAGTGCACAAAATGGCCTCTTGACATATCCATTCTCCAGCCAATTTTGTTTATTCTATTATTAAGCTATTAAAGTTCCTGTAGTTAGACCATTCATTTCATGTGCATCAGACATGTGTTTTCTTTCTTGTTTTGTTTTGTTGGAACATTTCATTGATTAAGGTGGAAGTTTATGAAACAAATGCGTTTCTCATTCAACAGTTAATACACAGATAGTGTTGTGACATTGGTTGCAATCCCCTCAGTGTGTCAGCACTCTCCCCACTTCAGCCCTGGGTTCCCTGTTTCCATTTGCCCCGCTTTCTTGTTGCTTCCTGCCTTCTGAAGTTTGTGTTGGCAAAGGTACCTTTTTGGTTGCTTCTAGTTGAATGCTCTGTGGGGCATATTCTTCACAGGTGTTCCTGATCACCTGGGCCTATAGGCCTGCCTAGTGTTTATAAGCCTGGCGGGAGTCCTGGTGTGCGGCGCTGCAGGATAAGCACTGGACTGCAAGGTTGTTAGAACCTCATGAGGTTGGCAGTTCAGATTCACTAGCCACTCCATAGAAACCCTGTAGAGTTGCTCAGAGTCTGAACCAACTCTATAGCACTTAACAGTTGTCTAGCTGTAAGGTGATCTCCCAAGAGTGGGTTCAACTTTGAGTTTGAAGGGTGTCTAAGGGCCATAGTCTGGGAATTCCACCCGTCTCTCTCAGACCAGAAAGCCTGGTCTTTTTTTATGAATTTGAGTTTTTTCTGTGTTCTCATTCTGTCAAGGCCCTTATGCTGTGATCTCAGCAGAATCTCTCTCTAGTGGTAGCCAGGCACCATCTAGTTTTTCAGGTCTCAGGCGTGTGGAGGCTGTGGTTCTTGGAGTCCACTAGCCCTTTGGACTAATGGTTTCCTTCCGTCTTTGATTTTCTTCACTCTTTCTTCCAGACAGGGAGGGATCAGTAGTCATGTCTTACATGGCCACTTGCCAGCTTTAAGACATTGGACATTTCTCTTAGTATAAGCTGCTTTGAGGCACTCTATGGACTAGCCTACTAAAATATTGATAAGAAAGGATCGTGTTTTAAAGCAGCATGTCTAGGTTATTTTGTATATAGAAATTTGTTACATTCAATATATCTGGTTGGAGGAAAGTTTGGATCTTAATTCTTTATATCAAATGTTTTTATTTTTCAATTATCAAATTGCAATTTTTAAAAAAGGCCTTTGTACCAACTACTTGCTTCTCATTCAACTGTTAAGTGCCAGTGAGTTGGTTCTGACTCATAGCAAACCTGTGTAGGGTTTCCAGGGAGTAGCTGGTAAGTTTGAACCGCTGACCTTGCAGTGCAAACTGATCTTGCAGTCCAGTGCTTTACTCTACAGCCCCACACCAGGACTCCCCTCATGCAGAAGCTTCCTAAAATATCTATATTCTCACAGGAATATTCGTTGATATTTGAAACTAGCATTTCCTATCCCATAATTATGACATAATGGCTAATAAATATTTTAAAGTACTTACTGTGTGCCAGGATTCAATTCTCATTAACAACTTTTCTGGTAAGGAATTAGCGACTCACCATTTAGGCTCATGATTCCAATTGAGAGCCTATGCTCTTAACTCTATAGACTTTCCACAGAAATAGGCATGTTTGGCCAGAAAAAAAGTATTTTGTATGACAGTGTAGATCAGAGTTAACCTTCTCAACTTTTTTAATTCTTTGCAAACTATGTAAAATTATGCAAGAAACAAAACACTTTTGTTAAATTGGAATGCAGTTTTTGTTCTTTTAACAATTTAGTAGTGACATTATAAAATAGAATTTATCATTTATTTTTAAATGTTAAGTATCTACAAATAGTGTAGTGGTTACGAATCGGGCTGTGAACCACAGGTCAGCAGTTCAAAACTACCAGCTGTTCATGGGAGAAAGATGAGGCTTTCTGCTCCCATAAACATTTACAGCCTCAGAAACTCTGTACAGGGTTGCTATGAGTTGGAACCGACTCCACGACACATAACCACCACCATCTCCAAAGTATAAGGTGGTATGTGAGGATACAAAGATTTAATAACGTGGCTCAAATCTTTGTACTTTAATAGGAATATTGATGTATCTTGTCTTTACCAATACCTGACATTTAGCACATGTGCTGCTTTTATTTTGTGTGTTACTGTATTTGAGTATATGAACTCTATGAGGGCAGCAGCTTTGTCTTATTCACAGATGTACTTGAGCAACCAGAGCAGTTCATAGAACATAGTAAGCACTCAACATTTGCTATGTACAAATTTGGAGTCCTGGTGTGGTGCTGTGGGTTAATGCACTGGACTGCAAACTTGGTTTGAACCTCAAGATTGGCAGTTCAGGTTCACCAGCTACTCATCAAAAACTCTATACAGTGTCACTATGGGTTGGAACCGACTAGAAGGCACTTAACAAGAAATACAAATTGGGCTGCTAATTGCAAGGTAAGCAGTTTGAATCTCCCAGCTGCTCCATGGGAGAAAGGTGAGGCTTTCTGCTCCTGTAAAGATTTATGGCCTTAGAAACACTATACAGGGTCGCTGAGTCAGAACCGACTCTACAGCACACCAAGTGGATCAATTATAATTAAAACGGATTTTTGTGGTATCAACTGGCCTTCCAAAAATAAATGGAATTTTTGCAGCAAGGGATGCAGGGTTTCCAGGTAGAGGTAATGGTAATGACAAAGATAAGTGATAAAAAGAATCTTCGTGTACAAATGGTAGTTGGGTCTTTGAGATACGAGTTTAAAAAGGTGGAAAATAGGGTACCCAACTCAAGGAACTTGAATGTATGCTTTTCAAGAATTTTAGGTCTTCTGCTAGAATGAGTTTTGGAACAGGGGAGAGCCAAAGTAGAGCTTTAAAAATGAATCTGAGGTAGACCAGCTACTGAAACTTCCTTTGGGTTCATCTAGCCCAGAGGGCAGTGGGTTTCTCTTTAATTGACCTTTCTGGCCCTAGGTTTAAAATTCTGCTAAAATGATTTGCTGGACAAGTCTTGCAAAGGGATTGGTTAGGTACTTTGCAAATTGTTGCTGTTGTTAATAAGTGCTGTCGAGTAGGTTCCGACCCATAGCGACCCTGTATAGGGTTTCTGAGGAGCAGCTGATGAGCTTGAACTGTTGACCTTGCAGTTCAAATAGCTTTGCAGTCTGGCACATTAACCCACAGCGCTACACCAGGACTCTGCTTCAATTACATGGCTGTGTCATAATTGAGGGATTATTCAGTTTTGCCATTCTGCTAGGCTTAAAAGAGCCAAGCCCACAGAGGTTGAGGGGGACCTCATGGTCATCTAGAAGAACCTAGAGCCAAACCTAATTTTCTGTGTAAATTTTCACTGAAAACACATTCTAACGCTTTCCTTTTTTCAAACCTGGAGTAGCACTTCTTTGGACCTCATAGTTCCTGTGTTTGACCTCCCAGGCCTAGTAGAGAGAGCAGTAGATTCTGAAGATAGCAAGAGAGGATGCAGCTAGAGTAACTGGCATGAGACAGTGGGATGTGGCCGTGGACCCCTGGAATGAGCCATGTGTGTGGGGTGCCTCCAGGCACACTGTGTGAAGAGTTGTAATACTTGTCAGAGAGGGCAGAGGCTAAGTGAAGGCTAGGCGACGGGCCAGAGAATCAGGCTGCCTGTATACATGGCAGAGAAGGAAGCCGTGAGCTGTCTTGCTTGAAGCTGTCCTGATGAAAAACTATTCTGAGTTGTATTGTGTTACCTCCACATTGATCATGATCCCAAACTGTAACCTGGGACTTCCCTAAGAAACTCCATGACCCTTGTAGCAAATCATCAAATGCAGCAGAGAAGTAGAAAGTGCCATGGGGTGGACCACCAGTATCAGACTTGGTTTAAAAAAAAAAGGCTGGCAAGGGAATATATATCTGACCTTGACCTCATAGGAATCAGTTTTGTGCTGATGGTGATTATCTTCCCCCTCATGAATTTGGACAGGTTCAGACAAAGTAATAAAGCCAGTCTTCAGTGAAGCTACATATTCTAAGCAGTTTAGCTTGCATTTAGCTCATTTACTCGTCTTCATCTTACAAGGTGTTATCAACATTTTAGAGAGGAAGAAGTAAGTTCAGCAAGATCCAGTAAGTAGCTCAGGATCAAAAATGAGAAACAAGAATTTTCAGAAAGAAAGAGTACACTGAATTGTCTGGGTGATAGGTGAGAAGAATTGGAGTTCTTAGACAAGTCAATTCAAACGGAAAAATTAGAGAAAGGGCTGGTTTCGATTTTAGATAATGTTGAAATTACATTTCTGACAGGTTACCTTGGTGATGATGCTCAATAATAAATGTACCAAATGTTCAGTGTGTACCTGCCATAGTGTTAAACCAGCAAAATTGAAAGTTCTTACCCTCCCAAACCCTGCCATTCCCTGGTGCTGCAGTTCCTCACTGGGCCTCACTGAATTCCTATCATTCTGGCTTATCAGTTCTGAGAACTACAAATTCTTGCCCCAGGGCTTCCATGTTTACATTCCCTTTGCCTAGAATGTGGCGTGACCTGCTTTCCACCTGCTGCTTCCTTTCCATACCGTAGCTAACTCTCAGGATCATAAAGGTCCTATCTGACGGTTAAATATTAAGATCCCCTTAGTAAACTCAGTAAGGGCAAGTACCTTATTGATCTAAGGAGCTCTGGTAGTGTAGTGGTTATGAGTTGGGCTGCTAACCTCAAAGTCAGCTAGTTTGAAACTACCAGCAGTTCCGTAGGAGAAGGATAAGGCTTTCTGCTCCCATAAATATTTACAGCCTTGGAAACCCTATGCAGGGTTGTTAAGATGCGGAACTGACTCCACATCTCTTTCACACCTGTATCCTGTATTTGCTTCTGTTTGAGGCTGTAACATATTGCCATAAAATTAAATAACACAATTTTATTCTTAACAGTTTTGGAGATGATGATGTTAAGTGACGTTGAGTTGGTTCCGACTCATAGTGACCCTGGTAAAGAGTTTCCAAGGAACAGCTAGTTGTTAACAGCCCAGTGCTTATCCTACAGCGCT